TAATATACTCTATGAATTTCACTTTTATTATTTACATAAATTCCACAATGTTAAGATTTTATCTAATTCATCACTATATCCCTTGGACCTACAAGTACCTAGGTCTAGGTCTATGAAATTCCATAGTGAGAATTTCAGATATTTTTGTTGTTGAATAAATAGATGTACATATATCTATATCTATAGTTATAAACCCAAGAAATTACTTATCATGACTGTTGAATTTTATAAAAATATTTTTTCTTTAAGTGTAACTTTTGCACAGTAATTTCTGGGCTTTTTTCTGTAATTTATAAATCACCTATTTAATCTCCTCCCTTCCATTTTTCACATTCAACAAAATCAGGCACTCTTAAATGTCACTTTTTTTTTTTAAAGAAAAGGTGATCAGCATCGAATGTGTGTGTGAATCAACTGAAAAAGGAAGGAATGGCACCAGTGACTCCCTGGTCTCCCAGTGCCAGCGAATGGTTGCTAACCACCTGTGGGTTCAGCCCCTTAGCCTGCATGAAGCTAGAGTGGAAAAGATGCTGATGATGCTTCCTGACCACCCCTGTTTAGGACAGCCTGCTGCACAGAGCAGGGTATCAGGGCTGCTCTTACAGCAGTTTATTTCTGTGACCGTACCATGCCTCTCCATCAAATCGAAGATAACGTCCCTTTCATCCCTGGTCTCCCACTCTGTCACATTAGACATTGAAGCTTATTTCTCATGGATTATCTTGCTTAGAGGAGATTAACAAGAATAACAGTGGGGGAAAAAAGCGGACTTGTAAAAGTCTGTGTGAAAATGGATTTAGGGGCCAGTTCTGTGGTGTAGCAGGTAAAGCCACCACCTACAGTGCCAGCATCCCATATGAATGCCAGTTCAAGCTGCTTCACTTCCGATCCAGCTCTCTGCTGTGGCCTGGGAAAGCATTAGAAGATGACCCAAGTCTTTGGGCCCTTGCACTCATGTGGGAGACCCGGAAGAAGTTCCTGGCTTCAGATCGGCCCATCTCCGAACCAGCGGATTGAAGACTTCTCTCCCTCCCTCCTTCCCTCCCTCTCTCTCTGCCTCTGCCTCTCTGTAAATCTGCCTTTTTTTTTTAATGAAATATTTTATTTATTTGACAGAGTTAGACAGTGAGAGAGAGAGACAGAGAAAAAGGTCTTCCTTCCTTTGGTTGACCCCCCAAATGGCCGCCGCAGCCGGAACTACTCCGATCCGAAGCCAGGTGCCCATATGGCATGCCAGTGCTGCAGGTGGAGGATTAACCAAGTGAGCCATGGCGCTGGCCCCTTGGTGCAAAGTTTAAAATCCATGCAGTATTCTGGGTGGTGCTGCGGCTCAATAAGCTAATCCTCCACCTAGCGGCACCGGCACACTGGGTTCTAGTCCCGGTCGGGGCGCCGGATTCTGTCCTGGTTGCCCCTCTTCCAGGCCAGCTCTCTGCTGTGGCCTGGGAAGGCAGTGGAGGATGGCCCAAGTGCTTGGGCCCTACACCCCATGGGAGACCAGGAGAAGCACCTGGCTCCTGCCTTCGGATCAGCGTGGTACGCCGGCCACAGCGGCCACTGGAGGGTGAACCAACGGCAAAAGGAAGACCTTTCTCTCTGTCTCTCTCTCTCACTGTCCACTCTGCCTGTCAAAAAAAAAAAAAAAATCATGCAGTATTCTAATAATTCACCTTTTTCATAAACTGTATGGATTTCAAAAACTCTTTGCACCAAAATAAATTTCTCTTTTACTCCCATTTTCTATGAACTTTTTGAAGTATGCTCACATATCTGTTACTAATTCAGTACCTTTGATAAGGGGATAAGCTTAATGAATCAAAATATGCTGTTATTCAGGTAATATTAACTTTATAAATCTAGTTTTTTGACTCATAGGACATTAATAACAAAATACACTCATGCTCCAAAGCCTGAACTGGCAATATGGATTTTGCTACCATTTTGTAATTTTTGAAGTAACTTCATTTTAAACTGTATAATATGTTCACAGCATCCAGAAATCAAAACTCTATAGAAAATTGTGACAAATTCATCCTTCCACACCTGTATAAATGTCCACCATTTCTTTAAGCGAATTACACACAACAGACATGCATTTCTTATTTTTTCTCATGTGTTATACAACATGTACCATATACAGTTTTCTGCATCCTGTCTTTTATTCAGTTAACTGTAAGTTGAGACGTCTTTCCTTTTTATAGCTGCAGAGTGTTCATGTGTGGCTGTGTTACACTTTGAGTAAGTCTACCTGAATTATTGCCAGCCTTTTATTATCATGGGCTATGCTGCAATGAATAATCTTAAAGATAAAATTTTTATGCATAAACAATTATAAATGCCAAACTAGGATCCCTGCATAAGTGGATTTATAATTCAGATATTGACAAATCATCTAAACCTTGATACCTTCTTTATGTTTCTCCATTCCTTCCAACGATGGGTATCTTGAATATAATAGTCATTGCTACCACGCCAATATATTTTCTTATTTCCTTTGTTTTCTGTGTATAATTTACATAATAAAGAGGATTCTTAGTAATTTCACCTAAATCTATTTAATTATACATAATTAATTGTTGGATTTAAGGAAGATACTATTTTTTTCATTGTCATTAATAAATCTTTAAAGTACATTTATGCATTCATTAAGCAAGTTTAAGGTCTTAATAAATGTAATAAAAACATTTAATATGTGTTTTACAGGATTACAGAGAACAGAACATTTTTGTTGCATGAAAATAGAGATATTTATATCATATAGCAGTACATATTTTTTGTATAAAATAACATTGTGTTTTGGATCATATGTTAAATAATATTTTTTGTATATTCGATTTAAGAATCACAATATGGTTACACTAGGCCACTTACAACTAACTTTAATGAATCTGTGTTCCTTTTCCAGATTTCCTTTCTTTTCTGAAATGCAATCCTTATTCTTCTAATTGTCTAAATTCTCTAGAGTCTTAACTTGGAGTGGTCCTGGGTTCTGTGTGACTAAGGATTCTTGGTTTTGCCCTACGACAATTGTTTCATCTTATTTATTTTCCCCTTGAATTCAGGGTTTTAATTGTCCCATCCCCCATGTATTTTTGATTTAATGGTTCAACCATCATATTGGCCTGATGGATTATTATATCTTCTCTCCAAAATTCTCTTTCCTGGTGACAGAAAGAAATGAAACCTCCCCTTAACATAAAACTTTATAGGCACCAAGGTCCTAAATCCCAGGCTGTGTTTAATGTTAAACGGTTAGTAGTAGCAGAACACCCCAAATACTAATTGTTTGGGGGTGCTTGAAAGAAATATGTCATTACTGTTTTTAAGTCTTATCTTGGAGTAGATCATGGTTTGGGCTAAAATTACCCCTGGACTCCCAATAACCCCGTTTGACGTCATCATTTGGAAAGTGACAGGAAACAGAAGGAAATAGTCCCTGCACTGGGTTTGCTGTAAACTCCTTTTCAAAAGCCTGGGAGATCCTGTTCCTTCCAGAGAGGAAAGTGGACTTCAGAGAAGGTGAGAATGTACTTTATGAACTGCTGTAGGTCACAGGCATTCCCCAGTGTGGTAGGTCAGGTGCAGCAAGTCCAACCAGAAGACCCAGATGAGAGGGGTTCTGGTGCCACATTTAAAATTTTAGAACAAATTACTGACTAAGCTAGTTTGAGCCAGAGCTAACCTGCAAGGGTTTTGCTTGTTTTTCCTTTGCATCTAGCGGACAGGAAAGGGGAAAAAAATGCTCAAAGGATAGGTCCCTTCCTTTGAGGAACTGTTGGCTGCAGTTAACTTCCCAAAGGACTTGAGCAGGTGTTGTACTCCACCCACAGGCTAGCACCACAAAGCTGAGGTCACTGGGAAAGGCTAAGCCTTGGACTGGGAGAAGGCATTTATTTGCAATACGTAGCACTGACAAAGGGTGAATGGCTATAACCTGTGAAGAATCCCTACAAATCAGTGAGAAAAAGGCAAACTAATATTTATCGTGAGCCAAGATTCATTATTTCTTTTTCTTGACAACTAAAACATAGCTTATTTACTCGGCTGAAAGGTTTCTTATTATACACAAAAGGTTTCTCCCTGCTGTTCACACTCATTTCAGGGAGTTGTGTTTTGTTTTTCTAGGCTTAAGCTTTCTCAACAGCTGCTGTTGCTGTTGGTTTGTTTCCTTTCAGTACCAAGGTGGGTACTTTCATCTAAAATCTTATTTTTAATTCCTTCTCTGGCAATTCTTTCATGGATTCTTTGCTAGGCATAATTATGCCTACAGTGGAACCAGCATCGTAAAGTCAACAAAATAAATCCTCCTACTCCAAAAGTCACATGATCATCTGTTTCTGCTAGTCAACAGCAACAACAAAAAAGTGTCCAAAGCCAGGCACAACAGATCCTAACGAACCGTCTAACTGAATCTCATGCAGATGTTTTCAACATCTAACATTCCTAGGAGTTTAAAGGACTTTGGAGGAAAAGAAGAGGCCTGGTTGGCCCCAGCCTGGGGGGAAAGGGTGGCGGGAGTGATTGCAGAACCCCAAGTGTCTGAGCCAACACCCCAGGACTGGAGCAGGATCAAGGCCATGAGCTGGAGCATCCCCGGAAGCAGCCTGGACTATCAGGTCCCAGGGCCACAGCACTGCAGGGAGGCGGGGCCTCTTTCTGATGGCCATCCGGGTCCCTTCTCCAAGGCCACTCCTGTAGGAACACTCTGAACAAGATCTAGAGGATAAACCAGGTGGCTTGGCACAGTTCCTGGTTCTACTCATCTGATTCCTGTCAATGTTACAGGTATTCTACCTGCTCAGATTTCTAGTAATTACAGATCAAACATATTCCAGAAGTGAGAACTCAACAGCACGCATCTGTGAAGCAGAGAGAGCCATACTGGAGACCTGATCTCTAAACCCAAGTTTTTGGAAACCTATCGTTAACACCTGAAAAGTCATAGAAAGAGATAAAAATGTGGGTGTGGGAAAAGAGCTCTTTTTAATTAACGACACTCATTTTCCCAAGATAAAATTTTATTTGAGGCATCAAGCAATATACTTAAAAAAGAGGCGAATCAAGCACAAATAACATCCTTAATTTCATAATTTTACATCTGCCACTCTGCGAAGTGAGCAAAGATGAGAGGCGTGCATGCTTTTCCCCCCCCGCAACTCTATCTCTATAGTGCTTAAGGAAGTCTCCTTTAAGTTTTGCTTGTTCTTCCTTAAAAGGCATGGTGGTTTTCTGCGGGAAACCGAAAATGAGCTGCTCCAAGGAGGATGAGGCTTCTCCCCGGAGTTGTTCATGAGATAACACAGCTGCCTTTTTCTTTGAAAGGATTCTTGTCTTCTGGAATGCCCTTCACCAGGGGATCCTCTCCAGAGCGTTCTTCAATATAATTCTTTATTTCTTCAGAACATTTAGACACCTTAAGTAAGGAAAAAAATAAAAGAGAATGAATTGGATCAGAGTTGTTCAAACATTGTACTACCCTTTAGTGAAATTAATAGAACTGAGCACAACCAGCTTATAAAAAATTATACACATACATATATGTATATCTTTGTGTTTCTCTACTCTTATTCTAGTATAAATCATATAGGCATGAATTTGATTTGAGGTATGTAAAATCTATTTCTTTCTATTGGTCATGGTCAAAAAAGTTGGAAAGTCTATGCATTAAATAGGTCATCCCCAGCAATTTCCATCCATCATACCTCATATGATTTCCTTCTTGGGTTAAAAAACAATTATGATGTGTCTATAATATTTTAGGAACTGAAACATTCCGACTGCAATCTTCCATGCTAATGAGCAGGTGCAGGAGTAGATAATCCCCAGGTGTTTTTGAGGTGTGTAAAGCCACCATTCTCACTATGGGTGTGTGCCCGATTCTGGAATTTCACAAAATGATAAAGCCTTTGGGAAAAGACTGTTCTGGAAAAGCTGGTGCTGCCCAAATTGCCCACTCTTTCCCAGCTCAGAATTCCATCCTCAGCAGGAAGGCAATTATCATAACAAAAGGCTTATCTGGGGTACAGTAGGCTTATCTGAAACTCTGTTTACATAATCAGTTTAAATTTTCTCTGCAATAGAGAAAGAATTGAGTAGTTTCTTCGAAGTCTACCCTTTGAGGCAAATTGCAAGAGTGAGTTTTTTTTTTTTTTTTAAGGAATAAAAAGGAAAAGAAAAAATAATTTGTCTTAATGAAGGCCTGCATCACTAGGAAGAAATTAGAACTACAAGTTATCTAAACTCCAGCAAATTTCAAGATACACATTAAAACTGGGCAACTGTTCCCACTGAATTTCTAATCCAGGTTGGTAACCTTGAACTCCTTAAATGGTCATCATTAAAACAAGTTTGTATATGTATCTCAAAATGTATGTCATTTTTTACTTACAAAGAAGTTCAGATAGTACTATGTTAATACAGCATGCATAATTATAAAACCTACACCTGTAATTATAAAAGGATGAGATTTAAAACTAAACAAAAACCAGAAATTTTACTATTTCATCCCCTGCAACCCAAAGCGCTCTTCATTCAAGTAAGTGCAGAGCCCACTGATCTGGTATTTAAAACTAGATGAAGTAGTTACATGACTTAAAATATGGCAAAATAAAATCTTCCCAAATACCATTTTTCAAATAACATTTGCTAACAATTTTTGCTACCTTCATCACATGCATGTTTTAAACGAATTCTCAGAATTTGAGGTACAAGTGTCCATAACCTGGATACGATTCATAGTCCTTGTACTGATTTGTTCTACAAGAGACTTCCTGAGGTTTCCCAAGAGATCTGCACACACACACACACACACACACACCCAACATGGGTAGCTGCTCTTCTGATGCATTTCCTTCCATGATCAAGAAGACACATTTGACCAACCATTGGGACCTTGAGCCAGAATGCAACCTAAGAACTGTGGCTCCTTCGCCGGAGCAGAACTCACAGCTTAGAAGCCAACTATCCAGTGATGGAATAACGGACCCGGTTCAGCCCTGGCCCTGAGTGAGCCCTGAGTGAGCAGCCAGTTAGCCTCCCTGTGAGGGGCTAAGAAGGAGTTTGCAAATTACTAGTAGGACTTAGAGGCCTCTTCTTTTATCCTCTGTGAATATCCTGAAAGTTTTCCTCCCTCTGGCATACACCTGTGGGTTCTGGCATTGAGGAGCTGATCCGACAGGGTGTGGCCAGGAATGCAGTGCCCAGCAGGGAGAAACTGCAAATGAGTGACTCCATTCCCCTGCCCACTGAAACTTAAATAAGCAGAAGACATTCCTCTCCCTCTCTCTCTGTAAATTCCGCACAGTGCCACCCAATAGGACAATATTTTCCTACAGCACAGGTAATTATACCACACAACCCCAAGCCTCCGTGTGTGCACCAAGTCAGGCGTCCAACACTTGCTGTACTGGGGGCTTGGCCATTTCTAAGCTCGAGCGACTTGAGGTTTTGAGAAGTAGGTTGATTAATCAGGTGCTGTCACTCTGCTTTTTCCTTTAAACTCGTTGACAGTATTTTCAAAGCTACAAAACTCTCAACCTGGTTAGAAGGGACATCCGGATACAAAACCCTAGGCAGCCCAAGCAGGAATTTGAAGATGAAGGATTACATTCAGAAAAGAACTGCAAAAAGGAAAACCCATCTCTCAGGAATAATGAGACCTTTACCACTAATTTATCATAACTCGGAGCAGGCAGGCCAGAGAGATTATCTACAGCATTTGCATCATTTCCATTGCTTTTCTTAATTTTTTTGGTGTTAAATATAAACACATAAAATGAATTCAAAATTCTCTTGCAGTGGAGAAAAGATTAATGTCTTTGAAAAACAAATAGCTATCCAAAAGCCCTTTCCTACACAAGTTGTCTGGGATGAAGAAGAGGAGGAGGAGGAAGAAGAAATAATGTCTTAAGGAAGCCCTGTTACCGGTAAGAAATGGAAGTTAACTGATAAAACTGCCCCTAAGTCTCGGCGGGGACTTGTGAGCCCTGGGCTGGCACTGGCGCGGCCAAGCCTCAACTGGGTCGAACATTCGGGATCCCACGCACACCCGTGGGCGCGCAGTGGTTTACTGATATCCGACGATCACTGCAGACTCTCTCTATCCCTGAGGCGTCCTTATACGACACAGACTGGGCGCTAGACAGGGATGAGATCCACACGTAAAAGCGGAGGTTCTGACACCGTGCTCGGGGCCCGGCGGGCTGTTTGAGGGCGCCGCTGCAGGCCCCTGGTAAAATCCAAACCCAGGGGATGCGGCTGGGAGGCTCCGAAACGTGGTGTTTGAAAACGGCTCCCCAGTACCACCGCTTCCAGTAGGGAAACTGTCCACAGAACCCGGCTGCCTCGCCTGTTCCCTGCCCCTGAACTTGGGCAAGCAGCTGCCTACTGTCGGCGTCCCCATTCTTCCGGCTTCCCCTTCCCCTCCTTTACCCCCCGAGATCTCGCATCGCCTGGCAGCCCCTAGGCACTGCCATAGACAAACTGCAAGAAACCAATCAACCCAACAGAAAGACCCCTCTAGGCGTCCCCGGACCTGGCCGGGCGATGCTGACGCCGGCTCCAATGCAGATTCCGCAGCAGCCCATTTACCTGCTGTCTCTGCAACTTCACTTCTTTGCGCAGTTGCTCAACTTCCATCTTCAGCTTTTCCTTCTCGGGCAGGTCTTCGATGTGCAGGGCAGGCATTTTGGCCGCGGGGCTGGGCCCAGGGGGCGCGGGGGCCGTGCAGCCGCTGCGAGCGCTGCGCACCAGGGCGCGCCCAGAAATAACCGCGGGCCGCCACTGCCCGCCCGCCCCGGGGCTGTGACCGCCTCCCGGCGCCGGCTGCGGCCGCCGCTCCGCAGGGCTCGCCTCCCCCGGGTCGCTCCGCCGCGCCAGTCCTCGCCCGCGTCCGGGGGGCTTCCAATCCCGGGAGGCCTGCCCGGGCGCGCGGCCAGGCCGGGTTGGAGCGGCGCTGGCTCGGGTCCCGCCACGCCCGCGGGGCGGGGCGGGGGCGGGGGGCGGCCGGGCTGGGCCCCGCACGAGTTCGACTTTTTGATTTTTTTTTTTTTGGTTTAACCTCTGCGTCCAAGTCACATCCGGGTTTTGTTTGCAAAGCGAGGAAAAGGAGGACACTAACCACAGCAGGAAACAGGGGCCATCAACTCCCCCCAAGAACTTCAAAACTGCGCAAAGTGGGCTCCTTCCCCAGCTGGGGCCAGAGCGGCGTGCGGGGGCTGGGGTCCCCAGGAGGCCGCGCCCGCGTTGGCCCCAGGCCTGAAATGCATGCACGCGTCTGGGACGGCCCTTGGGGACAGCTCGCGGGCGCGCTTTCGCCGCAGTAGCGGAGTCTGCGTTTTCTCCGGGGGATGCTCTGCACTGGGTGGGAGACGCGCGCTCCACGGAGCAGAGACCTTGAACTTTCTCGGCAGAGTTCCCGCGCTCCGCCTTGTCTGAGCCTTGAGCACTAAGAAGGTCCTTAGGGCAACTCACACGGGGGACCCCAGACGGGCGCCCACGGCCGCCGCGGCCCAGCCCTGCGGTTCGCTGGTTCGCTGCAGGACGGCGGGAGACCGGGACTCCTGACCAATCCTGCAACCAGGGCTTGGGATCCTGTTACCGTCCGGTAGCACGTGGAGCCTCCCGCGCCCGCAGGGCCGTCTGCCTAACCGGAGAGACGTGTGGTAGCGCTCTCTGCGGCGGAAGAGTGGCACCAGGCAGGCTGGCCGACAGGTGGTCAGCGTCCTGCTCAGAGCGAGGGTGGCGGGGCTGCGGGTGGCTGGCGCGCGCCCACCCCTACGGTCTGCTTGACATCTGACGCTGTGCAGTTTCCATTCCTGGCCCGTGCACTTTCCTGGATGTAGGCAGTGGGTTCTCGGAGTACTGGTGTCTGTCCTTGTGGGAAAATAATGTGCATGTACTTGCAGCTTTGGGTAGCCAGAAGAAGTGTCTGATGTGAACCATGCTTGCGTGTAACGTAAACCTTCCCTTTGACTGTAAACTCAAATCTGTTAACCGTGCTCAAAAGCCTAGAAGAAAATAAAACATCCGTGCAAGCAACTTTCCCAAACAGCAGGGTATTTCCCTTTCTCTCCAGAGTCAATATCAGGAGGAGAGTGGGGGTCTTCACTGAAAATTTCAGGTCCCTGACTTCCGACATTCCCCGGTTGGTGCATTTTTTTCTCACCAGGCTCCGCCTACTTCTGCTCCTGGAGTGCAGTGTTAGGAACCGGGAGCTACTTAACGGGCCCTCCTAGATTGTGTTCCCAGCTCTGCCCCTGGCTGTCACAGGAAAAGCATCAGTTACATTTTTCTGGGTTTGGATTTTCTAATTTGTCAAATACGTGGTGGGGAGGGCGTGAACCAGCTGTTTGCTGTGGCTCTGCCCGAATTTGCGCGTTTGCAAATGATAAACCGCTTTGATGGAGAAAACGTGAAGCAGCTGCATTTTCTGTAATGGGAACAGCCAGATCTCCCAGGCTCACAGAAGTTAGCTCCTCTGCCAGAGTTTTCCTTGTTAGGAAGCAGGGAGCCAAGGCAAAACCGACATTTCTCTCCAGAACAGACTCCTTTTAAAAAAATTCCTATTCCTTAAATTTGAAAGGTTGGTTAAAATTGCTTAACCAAGTTGGTGAAAGTGATCTAAAGTGGCCTAAATTAAATAAGTTGGTTAAGTAAATTAAGGTGAGTATATCTTTTCTAAGTCCTAAAAATAGAATTATTTTGGCCTGGAAATTTCTTCCCTCTGAAATCATCTAGTTACATAATGGGATAAATATTTATAAACCCATATTGGTGCTTTAGCTTTTTCCACAGTATTTAGGAGGCTTAAATTAGAGATGAAGTACTTAGCAGTGTACTTTTAAAAACTTTTGATTGTTATCACACAATTCATATGTTAGTATCTTATTAAATAAACTGATTAAACCAAAATGAATGGTGAAATGCTGACATCCCATGACCACACAGTGCTCTGGAAAATGTTTTATTGTTAATTGGTTTTAAATGGTAAAATGATGGTAACACTTTTTATTTTTGTTTTTAGGATTTTTTATTTATCTGAAAGTCAGTGCTACACAGAGAGAGCAAGAGACAAAGAGAGAGAGAGAGAGAGAGCTTCCATCTGCTGGTTTACCCTACGATGACCACAATGGTCATGGCTGGGCCAGACAGAAGCCAGGAGCTTCATCTAGGTCTTCCACATGTTTGGTGGGTGCCCAGACACTTGAGCCATCTTCTACTGCTTTTCCCAGGCCATTAGCAGAGAGCTGGATCAAAAGTGTACCAACCAAGACATGAACCAGTACACATATGAGATGCTGGTGTCACAGGTGGTGTCTTTACCGTTATAACACAACGCTGGCCCCACGCTTTTTTTTTTTCTTTTTTAACAAAAGTTTCCATATTCCCTGACCCCAGACACTGAGAGTCCCAGGGAAGAACCATGGTCAGCAATTTCTCACATACTCTTGCAGAAATATTCTATTAGCAATAATTTGAAACATTTTAATTCATAATAGTTGTATCTGAATATAGTATAACTTTTAACTTATATTTTATTTATATATTTTATCATTTTATATATATTTTTATATATTTATAAGTTTATATATTTATAAATTTTTATGTATTTATACAAAACAGTATGGACATGGTATGAACTGATTCTATAGTACAAATGAAAGCTGTAGCCAGAAATGACCTTTTATGAAGCACTCTAGTGGTCTTTGAAAAATGTTTTGGACAAAATTTTTAGTGAAAACAACCATTTTCACTTTTCAATTATAAGAACAATGACCATGTAATTTCCACTTTGCTGTGCAAACAAGGGGAAAATAGTTTTTTGGCTCTTTTCCTAAGTTGCTAAAAGTCAATATGAAAATACTCCATAAGAAAGTATTGAGGCCGGCGCCGCGGCTCACTAGGCTAATCCTCCGCCTAGCGGTGCCGGCACACCGGGTTCTAGTCCCGGTCGGGGCGCCGGATTCTGTCCCGGTTGCCCCTCTTCCAGGCCAGCTCTCTGCTGTGGCCAGGGAGTGCAGTGGAGGATGGCCCAGGTGCTTGGGCCCTACACCCCATGGGAGACCAGGAAAAGCACCTGGCTCCTGGCTCCTGCCATCGGATCAGCGCGGTACGCTGGCCGCAGCGCGCCGGCCGCGGCGGCCATTGGAGGGTGAACCAACGGCAAAGGAAGACCTTTCTCTCTCTGTCTCTCTCTCTCACTGTCCACTCTGCCTGTCAAAAAAAAAAAAAAAAAAAGTATTGAAAGTCGTCATAAGGAAATGATTTAATACTACTTGAACTCAAAAATGATCAAGGTTCTGGTCTTATTTTGCCTTGTGATTTTTGTTGAACAAATAAGCTAGGTTATTTCACAAATTCTGCTCCTCTAAAACTGATAAACAGTGACCTGTTAGCTCATTGAATTGAAGATTTTTTAAAATTATTAAATACATAGTTGATGCACTCTTGATTCACTTATTTGCTTCAATTTGTTAAAAATATTTGCGTGGCAAATATTTCACATAACTATGTATAACTATGTATAATTTTCCTTTTCTAGACGGATATAACACCAACCCATGAGATGATGTATCTGGTGTTCCACTTATCTCAACAATGACTTTTAATTAATGATATCAAAAAGTTTTCAGCGTGTGCGTCTAGCCTAGCAGTTAGAGATTGGTAAAGGCACCTGAACCGCACATTGTAGAACCTGAGCTCCTGTCCAACTTCGGCTCCTGACTCCAGCTTCCTGCTAATGCAGACACTGGGAAGCAGCAGCGATCTCTCAAGTTGTTTTTTGTTTGTTTGTTTGTTTTCCTTCAAGATTTATTTATTTAATCATTTGAGAGGTAGAGTTACAGAGAGAGGGAGAGACAGAGAGAAAGGTCTTCCATCTGCTGGTTCACTCCCTAAACAGCTCCCAATGACTGGAGCTGGGCCTACCAAGAGCCAGGAGCTTCTTCCCTGTCTCCCACATGAGTACAGGGGCCCAAGGACTTGGGCCATCTTCTACTTCTTTCCCAGGCCATAGCAGAGAGCTGGATTGGAAGTAGAGCAGCCAGGACTTGAACCTGTGCCCATATGGGATGCCGGTGCATGGTACCAGCTTTACTCTATGCTACAGTGCTGGCCCTGGTGTCTCCAGTTGGGTTTTTGCCACTGCTGTGAGAAATCTGGATGGACTTCCCAGTCCCAGGCTTTACCTTGGTCCAGGCCCGGCTGTTGCAGGCAGTTGGATAGAGAACCAGCAGACAGGAACTCCTCTCCTTCTCTGTCCCTATCTGTCCCTCTGCCTCTCAAATGAAAAGGTAAAAATCAAATGAGTTCTCTTTTTCATGATCTTCCTACAAGACTTTAATTTTCAATTCCATAATGGGTCATTTTCATTATTCACTTTACTATGTTTCTTCATGTTAATACTTTCTTTTAGAGATTTAGGAAGTTTGTTATTAGCTTTGTTTTGAAATCTGACTGCGATCAAATCAGTCCAACTTAAAATAAGTGAGATGCTTTGTTCTTTCTTGCCAAAGCTTGAATTCACTTATGTATGCAAGAATCTCCAAGTAGCTCAAATGATACAGTATCTATAATAACTCACTCTCACTAATGATGCCAGGAAGTTTTGTTGAAGAGCAAACGGCTAAGGGTGTGTGGGTAGTGCCTTACTCCCTTCTACCTGGGAATACCTGACAGTGAAAGAACAGCTTCTGGTCAGAACACTTCCTGCCAGGGAAGTTCCCTGCGGGGAAGCCATGATTCCATTTCCTTCTTCTCGTGCCTTCTTTCCTTATACTTCCTTCCTGTGAGTTCTCTCTTATTCAAACTTTTGCTGACAATCTGTATTTTTAAACAAGAATTTTATGCTACTGTTGATTCAATCATTAATTAAACCACAAGAATGCTGAATTACCCAACATAAGCATTTCATAAATATTTTCCTTGCTTGCTTTTAATTGAATTAAATATTTATGAAGTCAATTACATTATAGAGACAGTTGGTGTAGCAGTTTTAAAGATGAACAGAGCTTCTGGCTTGGGACATTTACAACAGAGCATTGAAATTAAGACAACTATATAAATTATAACAAGAGAGAGAGTAAAATTTGTTGGTGGGGGTCGTTTGACATGGCGATTAAGACACTGCTCGGGACTTCTGCATTCTATTTCAGAGTGCCTGGGTTCAATACCAAATCCACTTTTTTTTTTTAAGATTTATTTATTTATTTATTTGAAAGTCAGAGCTACACACAGAGAGAAGGAGAGGCAGAGAGAGAGAGAGAGAGAGAGAAAGAGAGAGGTCCTCTATCCGCTGCCTCGCTGCCCCGTTGGCTGCAACGGCTGGAGCTGTGCTCATCCGAAGCCAGGAGCCAGGAGCTTCCTCCACGTCCTCCATGTGGGCACAGGTGCCCAAGGAATTGTGCCATCCTCCACTGCTTCCCCAGGCCACAGCAGAGAGCTGAATCCGAAGTGGAGCAGCCAGGACCCAAATTGGCAACCACATGGGATGCCAGCACTGCAGGCAGCATCCCCCCAAATCCACTCTTGATTCTAGCATCCTACTTAAGTGCACCCTGGGAGGCAGCAGGTGTAGCTCAGGTTTTAGGGTCTATGCCCCTCACTTTGGGAAGTACCCAGCTCACAGCTTCAGACTAGAGCACTCATGGAATGAGCCAGTGGATAGGAGAGCTCTCCCTCAGACAGATCTAGCTGTCTCAGCCTCTGTTTCTCTCTCCATAGCCCTGACTGTTAATGAACAACTTAATACATTATCCCTCTTAGTAGTTTTTTTATCTGTTCTACTTAATATGACTGGTTTAGTTCTGTAATTGATGCACAGTTATTCTTAAGTGTTGAAAATTAACTGAAATGTGATCCCTGTTGAACATGGGAGTGGGAATGGGAGAGGGAAGAGATGTATAATTTGGGACATGCTCAGGCTGACTTGCCCCAAGTGGTGGAGTTGGAAGCATACCAGGGGATTCCAATTCAATCCCATCGAGGTGGCATGTACCAATGCCATCTCACTGTTCCAGGTGATCAATTTCAGTTCACAGTTGGTCATGGTGGAGGGACTGGGAGTCAAAGGGAGCACATAGACAAGTCTAGTACCTGCTAACGCTAACCGATGGAGTAAATAAGGGGGAGAGTGATCCAACATGGGAAGTGAGATACTCAGCAGACTCATAGAATGGCAGATGTCCTAAATAGCACTCTGGCCTCAGAATCAGCCCTAAAGGCATTCGGATCTGGCTGAAAAGCCCATGAGAGTATTTCAGGCATGGAAAGCCAAGACACTCTGGCAAAAGATCTCTGTGAGTGAGATCCCAGTGGAAAGAACAGGTCTTCAAAGAAGGAGGTACCTTTCTCTGAAGGGAGGAGAGAACCTCCACTTTGACTATGACCTTGTCTAAACAAGATAAGAGTCAGAGAACTCAGAGGGCTTCCATAGCCTTGGAAACTCATGACTGGAGCATAGGGAGATTACTGATGCCATAAACAGGAGTGTCAATTGGTAAAGTCAACAACAGGAGTCACTGTGCACTTACTCCTCATGTAGGATCTCTATCCTTAATGTGCTGTACATTGAGATTTAATGCTATAATGAGTACTCAAACAATATATTTCACTTTGTGTTTCTATGGGGGTGCAAACTGTTGAAATCCTTACTTAATGCATACTAAACTGATCCTCTGTAAAAAAAAAAAAAAAAAATCATCAATTCCCAACTTGACTCTCACTGGGATTAAACATGACAATAGGTCTGCTCTGATTTCATCATCATTTTAAAAAAAATCATCTATTATTTTTCACTTTATGTTTCTGTGTGGGAGCAAACTGTTGAAATCCATACTTAATGTATACTAAGCTGATCTTCTGTATATTAAGATAATCGAAAATGAATCTTGATGTGAATGGAAGGGGAGAGGGAGTGGGAAAGGGGAGGGTTGTGGGTGGGAAGGACGGTATGGGGAGGAAGCCATTGTAATCCATAAGTCGTACTTTGGAAATTTATATTCATTAAATAAAAGTTTAAAAAAAAATAAATTAAAAATGAAATAAGGGGGCCAGTGCTGTGGTGTAGTGGGTAAAGCCACCGCCTGCAGTGCCAGCATCTCATATGAGCGCTGGTTCGAGTCCCAGCTGCTCTACTTCCAATCCAGCTCTCTGCTATGGCCTGGGAAAGCAGTAGAAGATGGCCCAAGTGCTGGGCCCCTGCACTCACGTGGGAGACCTGGAAGAATCTCCTGGCTCCTGGCTTCGGATCAGCTCAGCTCTGACCATTGCGCCCTTTTGGGGAGTGAACCATCGGAATGGAAGACTCTATCTGGCTCTACTTCTCTCTGTAACTCTTTCAAATAAATAAATAAAATAATTCTTAAAAAATAAATAAAAGGTTTCTGGGAAGAAAAAAAATAAATAAAGCTTATTTTGTCCATTGTTGATTTAATATGTCCATATAAGGATCCATTCTAATCCTTCATTTTATGTATATGAAAATTGAAGGCTAAGAGAGTTGAAGTCACTTTTCCAAAGCTTTCAACTAGAAAGAGCAAGAGCCAAGGTTTTAATTAAGACTTGTCTGGCTCCAAAATCCATCTTCATTTGTAAATGAAAGCCAAAGATGTTGGCTAGGATTATACTCTACATGTTACTGAATATCACAGCAAAGACTTTATATTTATTTTAATCAGATACATGGAATTCACTAAATAAACACTAGTTTACACATGAAAAATCCCTAGAGACAGACCGTAACTAAGTGAATTAATAAAATAAATAGCATGCTAGATTTTGATGGGTGCCTTGAAGGGAAATGGAGTGAAGCAGGGAGACAGGAAATCCCAAGGGACTAGCTGGAGACGGATTGTATAATTCCAAATAATAGGAAAAGATCCTCTCCTGAGGAAAAAAGACACAGAAGATTCCACAGTTTAGCCTGGAATCCTTTAACACCCAAAGCATATTGGATGAAGACATGGGTGAGAGTTTGCTGCTGACGGCTCAGCCAGATACTCAGTCTTAACCTGAGAAATTTTCTCACTTTTTAAAAAAATTTATTTTATTTATTTGAAAGAGTTACAGAGCAAGGCAGAGCCAGAGAGAGAGAGAGAGAGAGAGAGAGAAAGAGAGAGAGGTCTTCCATCTGTTGTTTCACTCCTTGAATGACCGCAATGGCCAAAGCTAAGCTGATCTGAATCCAGCAACCAGGAGCCCTTCCAGGTCTCCCACATGGGTGCAGGGCCCAAAGACTTGGGACATCTTCTACTGCTCTCCCAGGCCATAGCAGAGAGCTGGATCGGAAAAGGAGCAGCTGGGACCTGATCTGGCACCCATACTCCATTCCAGACCAGATAATAGATTATTTTGTCTGTGTTTCAAAAGTATGACAATAAAGTTGATATAATATAAATTCACTTACAAATGCACAGGTTATTTTTAAAGAAGAATGCATGAATATCTCATTTTTATTTTATTTTTAACTTTTATTTAATAAATATAAATTTCCAAAGTATAGCTTTTGGATTACAGTGGCTTTCTCCCCCATAACTTCCCTCCCACCTGCAACCCTCCCATTTCCTGCTCCCTCTCCCATTCCCATGAATATCTCATTAATTATGTGTTCAATCCCTGTGATAAATCCTTTCAAGAAAGACACAGACTTATGCATTATCACATCCAATTTTTATTAAAAGTTTACTTTTATAAATTTAAAAATACATGCATGTGCTTAATAGTATTCTTACATAGAGGAAAATCCACATGGTCATTAACATTCAAGATACTGCAAGGATTTTTTTCCTTATGAAATCACACAGCCTCCTTTGAGCTCCTTGAAGGGATTTTTGTCCTCTGGGACACCTTTTACTAGTGGATCCTCTCCAGATCTTTCTTCAACATAATCCCTGACTTCTTCACAGCATTTGGATACCTTAAGGAGAAGGAGAAACAGATGACTAATTTGGTGCAAAACAGAATACTGCAGATGGCAAGAATTTTTTATTACAATGAATTTTCATTTTGTATCATTCTAATGTGATTGTTTATGCTTTCCGCCAATGTGCATACATCTCCTAGGAGAGAAGAAAGGGCTGCCCCCTTTTCCGGACCTCCTGGCCACATCCCAGCCTAGGGTTCCCAGCACACACAGCCTCTAGCTTCTGCAAATCGGGATCCAGCGATCAGAACACAGCTGGAAACATAAGAATGTCACCTGGTCGGCATTGATCCAATCAGTTTTCCTCATTCCATAAATGTGACTTGTAAAGGCAGAAGGAAATGAATCATTACTCACGCCCAGGCTTATCACCACTCCTGGATTCTCAGAAGTATACGCACACACTTTTACATAAAACTCGTCTACAGTGATGAGTGTTAATGGGTCAGGGACCCTTGGCTAAGTTGTTCAATATCTTCCAGGCATCCAGAACACAGCCTGCATTCAGCTGATGCTCTGAACTTTTGCTGAACCAAAGTATTTATTTTGTCTATGAGCTTGCTTCGCACTTATCTGCACCATTATAGTAACGGCTTAGTAGAAAAATCAGATTTTGGTATTTGAATGGATACAGCCAGAGTCTATTAATGTACCATTAAACACTCTTTCTAGAGATAGGCAATGTCCAATTAAGACATAAATATAAATATGTGTGAATAAACATATGCATATTCCACCTACCTTTAGAATCAATTTTTCATACTCTTATAGCTTCAACTTGTTATGTTTTCAATTAATATATGCTTCATGACAGCAACACAGAACTAATTCAGTTTGGGCAGTCCAGTAAGTGTCCATTCCAAGAGTTATTTAACCAACATATTTTTTTTTCAAGGAACATTTTTGTGGCATTTTTATATGCTAATTCCCAGCCACGTTAGACATAAGACTTTATATTGTTTTGCAACCCTGAAGTCCCATCCTCTACCTATTAGAAGAAATTGTTTCCAACTTTGGGCAAGGAGAGTCCAGTGTCTGCTTCATAGAACAATAACTTGCAGATTCATACTTTTGAAATATGATTTAGATTCACTCCTGTTTTTCCCCCTCCTCAGTGTTCCCACACTCCCTCCCAAATGCTCCCTCCCTTAACCCTACCCAGATGCCAGGAGCACAGGTAAAAATCAGTCAGTGAGGGGCTGGTTTTAACAGTATCTGGGTAGAATCTGAAGTCAAAAGGACCAATGTCTTCATATATGGTTACTTAGAATGATATATGAGTATGTGTCTAAAAATTATTTCCGTGACATTTCTTATATGCATATGTGGTTTAAAATAGGATTGCATGCCACATGGGAAGTGCATTCTTTGGTGAAGACAGCTCATCTAGGGTCCCATTACTGTAAAATAAGAATAGCAACACTGGTTGCATTAAGAGCCTAACAAGAGCCTGACGCAAGAAGATGCACCATCAAAGGTAACTCCTTTTAGCAAACACTACAAAGATTGTTTTTAGCCATTGCCTGCCTCATCATTGAGAATCTGTCAGTTTTAGAAACTAGATGCAAAGGGTTTTCTTACTCTGACAATACTAGTGCATTGACAACAAAATAGATTGAGGCATAATATGACAAATTTGGTTCATAGATATTAATAATTTAAAATATCAATAGTAAAATAGTGTAGAAAGCACTTGTGTCCTGGACGTTGTTCTCAGAACTTTGTGACCATTGTCATATTTATTTCTCCCAATTGTCCTCTCAATTAAATGCTATTACTACCTCCACTTTGAAGAACACAGGCAGATGTCAATTACGTAGATTAGCTTAAGTGAAGGTGACACAGGCCGAAAGTTGTTGTGGAACCAGAATCTGAGTCAGGAATATGGTTCCAAATCTACCCATTGAACCATGGTAGTGATACTACGTCAGTCAGAACTCTAGGTTCAGGACCTGGCGCTTCCATGATGAATATGTGTTCACCTGAATGCTTTATCTCCTGCAAACCTGTGCACTGAAATCCTAACCCCTAAAGTGGTGGTATTAGATCATGGGAGCAGAACCCTCACAAATGGGAGCAGTGTCCTTAATGAAAAGACCCAGGGAGCTTCCTAGTTGCAATCACCAAGCAAGGACGGAGGGAACAGAGCACTGTGAATGAGGGAGTGGGCCCTCACCAAACACCGAACCTGCTGTGCGCCTTGACCTTGGATTTCCCAGTTTCCTGAATAGTAAGGAATAAATTTCGGTTGTTTATAAGCTACCCAGGCTGTAGCACTCTGCTATAACAGGCTGAACAGACTAAGACAATGTACCTCCCCCCCCCCACACTTCTCTCTCTTTCTGTGTGTGTGTGTGCGTGTGTGTGTGTGTGTGTGTGCAAGTGCTTGCCATCTGATATTCCAAGAGCCTGGAAACTGAATAATAGGGGAAAAGGACCCCAAAGCCTGGTGGATGGTGATGTATATGAACTTTATCCCATATAAGAATTCTGAGGTAAATTTACCACAAGTGAATAATAAGTATGAAGACAACCAGATTGCTTACAAAACAACAATCCTGAGTACACAAATAATAAGACAGTGTTTGGATTTTTTTTTTCAAATAAAGAAGAAAGAAAAACATTCCTTTACCCCAGACATTTATTTTTCCTTCAAATTACAAAGATAAGGGTTTCAACTTATTTCTTGCATGTTCCAAGTTTTGTGCTGGTTATAGACTTAGTTTTATCTTTACAGTGAAACACATTTTACTTTCATGGAAAGGAGAGCAGGTAAGTTTGAGACAATTATAAATATAAAAGAAGCTAAAATCCCAATTTTGATTGGGAGTAAAATTGTCAGCAAAATACGAAGATAATACAAACTCCCTTTCCACTTTGTCTTGATAAAGTTAGATTTTTTAAAAAATATGTAATATGCTGTTATCATCTACAGAGGAGTTTTTGTTCTACAAATTTCCTAAAATGAAGAAATCTAAAATGCACATCTGTGTTTTCCAAGCTTCAGTCACTGTTTATTGTTGGAAGCTTTATTCCTTTGCCATTTCTATTCCTTCTAAGTGCAGAGAACTCTTGTAACCATTTCTGAGACCTGCCAGATGTGTCTAGGAGGAGCCAAGGAGTTCTTGTGCTTGAATTCTTTGTTAGGTAAAAGAAAATTTGCAAAAGAAGAATGGAATGCATTCATTTATTTCTGACCATGACAGTGCTGGGATATGAGGTCATGGCTCAAAGTGTCTCCACAATCACAAAATATTACGTGGAAAAAAGGAAAAGCTTGTGAATTTAGAAAAGTAAAAACAAAATACCTGTATGCATTGCTTCACTTTATTCTATAGCTAAAATACAATCTCTATTTCATATTCTTCTTCCCTCTCTTCTGTCCTTTGTCTGTCTGTCCTTCCTTCCTTCCTTCCTCTTTCTTTCCTTTTTTAAAAAATAACTCTTTAAACTGTAAAATCTTTCCTAGTTTGGCAGTCATACAAAGCACAGATTAAAGGTTAAATTTGGCTTATGGAAAATAATCTGCTTACTCCTTGAATTAAAGTCTCAATCAACAAAGAATTATGATTATTAATTTTATCAGTCTCTGATGAAGTTTTACTTGAACAGTTTATTTTGAACCATATTTAGCCTCCTCAGTCAATAATAAATAAATGAAAGACAGTTAATGCTTTCCAATTTAGCATTCCACAACATCTTTAGCTTAAACTAAATCCAGAAGCAAGCAGGAAATTACCAGCATTCTTTCCAGAGTCACCTCTTTCTTGAGCTGGTCAACTTCCATCTTCAACTTGTCCTTTTCCGTCAGGTCTTCGATATTGATCACTGGCATCTTTCACCTGCCAAAAAGATAGAAAGTGAACACATAGAACTGAGTTGCTGGAATCACTTTGAGTCCACCTTAGCCAACTGTGCTCTCAGTTTGTCACTTACTAAGCAAGCTGTTCTTTGTTTTATTTTAAATTTCCTGTGATAATCAATTTCTCATGAGCCGTCTCTGAACAATTCTAGCACTGAACAGTAGTCTTGGGATTTTAAAGCTTCTTCGTAATCTTCTCTAATATGATTAAGCCAAGTATCTGACTCTAAACACCTGCCAGTGGGTTTGCAAGGAGGGGTCAGTGCAGTTCTATAAAATCTGAAATGCTTAAAGCTCCTCCTTCCCCCCTCTCTTTGTCATAGTGTAAGATTTCGGGTCATCAACCTTCATCTTCCAGTTCCAAAGCTGCTCACTTTATAATTTGTGCCATTTAACCTACTTCGAGGTCATTTTGAGGACTGCTCATTAATCTGCTAAATCACTAGCGTACTTAATCTGGTATTTAAAAGGAACCGTATAAAAAGTGTTATTATACTTCAGTATAATGACTTGAAAAGTGATTAATTTGGAAATACTATAAACAACCTTCTTCATCAGAAATAAAGTAGTGTACTACTTACAACTGTGTCTCCAAGCAATACCTGGGATTTCTATGTAACTCTCATGAATTGTATAACAAGGATAAACAAATGTGGTAGGTTAGCAGGGGTACCAATACACATCTCAACAAGAACAGACCCCTCCATCCTACTAGGAATCTTCTCATCTCTTCAGTTGGAGCCATCTTCCTCATTACACATTGATTCAAGTGATCCTCCTGTGAAATTCTCTAGGAAATATTTCATGGTAGCCAAGTGGTGCCCTTACAGGGATTCCTCTTACAGGATATCACATGTGCATCATTTAGTTCCCTTGACATCATTTGTAGTAGATGCTGTTGTTGCCCTGCCCATATCTCCAAACTTTCCTGCACAGCTTGGTTTGGCTGATGAGAACTCAGGTATTAACTGATTGAAACTAGGAGATTCTTCTCCAAGCTGGTCCCTGAGGGTATTGCGTAACAAAAGGTCGGCTGATGTGTGGTCCAAACAGGCTCACCTTTCGCTTCTGGACAAGCTTTCTGCAATACAGAACCTTCCAGAACTCCCCAGGTTTGGGATAATGCTAGTCTTCTGAAACCTCATTTTTTATTAACTTCTCCTCCTGCTCCATCTTGCTTTTCTTACTCCTCCAGAGGTTTCTCTGAGAGCTTGCCCTTGACAAATCACTTAGGTTCTGCTTCTAGGAGATCCAACCTCAGATATAATGGATCATTAGGACCTTTCCTAGGAAGGACAGACTCTTTGTAACTTTCTTGTGCTCATTTTTGCTTGCCTATTATTGTCTGTATTGTTTAGCACACAGAAGAGAATCAGGAACTCTTGACAAAGGCACTTTTAAAAAAATTTTTATTATTTATTTGACAGGTAGAGTTATAGACAGAGAGGGACAGAGAGGTCTTCCTTCTGTTGGTTCACCCCTCAGATGGCTGCCATGGCCGGCGCTGTGCTGATCTGAAGCCAGGAGCCAGGTGCCTCCTCTTGGTCTCCCATGGGGTGCAGGGCCCAAGCACCTGGGCCATCCTCCACTGCCTTCCCTGGCCACAGCAGAGAGCTGGACTGGAAGAGGAGCAACAGGGACTAGAACCCCATGCCCATATGGGATGCTGAATCCGCAGGCAGAGGATCAACCAAGTGAGCCATGGTGCCAGCCCCGACAAAGGCACTTAATCTATGTCTTAAATGATCACCTATACTAGATAAAAGGCAAGTCATCTAACTTTATTTTATTAACAAATAATTTCTCTAAAATGCTGTGATTCATTATATTTAATAATGTTTAACATGAGAAACACTTCATTTAAAGGAACTGTATTCTTAGATGATTCAAGAAGGCTGGTGTTGATGCCACAGGTCTTACATGAAAATGATTCAGAGGTCAGGGACCAAAGTTTTTACCTTCCTCACGGCCATAGAGAAGCACAGCGTAGGCAGTGCATGTGGGGATCCCAAACGTTCAAAGTCGCATTAATGCCAAGGGCTCACAGAATCGCAATCCAGTGTATCATCTACAAAGGTGCCTGGAGTCCAAGTGCCCAATCATGCAATGGAGGGCTGTAGAGCTGGGGTTACAACAGGTATTTGTTTTCTGCTCTGGGTTGTTTTCCCCTCCAGCAGGTTTCTCACATCTACCCTGCTTCCAGTCAGTGACGAGGAGTAGATCTGTTTATTCCCATCTGAAAAATACATAGAAAGTTCAGAGTGAATGACAAATGGTCCTAAATTCTAAATTCTCTCTGTGCCCTTCATAATCTAAGCTTTCAGATTCGGCCATCTCTCCTTGGAAAGTTCTAAACGGGACTAGATCAGATGATTGGCCCTATTACCAACCAACACTACTCCACCTTCAGTCAGAATGCAAGGGGAAAACTAAAGCCCCACTGTCCAACTAACTAAGGTAGCTGTTACTGCTACTCCAGGGGCGAACAGACCCTGAGCTTAGGAAGATGCTTGCCTTTTTACCTCCTTTGCTAGCATCAGAGGATCTAAGCTCAAAAAAGCAAAGAAAGGAGAAAGCAAGAGACTCCAGCTGTACCCCATCTATCGAGGCATGTTCTCCATGGGAGCACTACTGCCCCCAGAGGGCCTTTTGAAAAAATGTCAGCGTGTAAAGATTTTCCATAGTTTTTGTGGGTGTGGATGAGCAATGTCAGATATCTAACATTTTCCAGGACCCTGCTGCATAAAATGAACTGTCCCACATCCAATATAGCTGCCAAATATCATCTTAGACATCCACATAGATAAAAACCATACTTAAAGTTATTTGAACCTTGAATTGAACTTCTTTTCACACATGAACTTAAAATATATCTTAATACATTATTATATATGTTTATACCAAATATACTCCAAATTTTACAGTCACATAAATATTTGCTGAGTAAAAAGGAGCTCACACACCAACTTTTTTACTCTTTCACAAATTCATGTCACTCCCTGTAGCCATGAGCATGGAGTATGTCAGGATGTGTTCTTGGATGCTACGCCCATAGTTATTCTATATATAAAAATCATCCAGCATCTTCATTGTGCGTAGTCATGTTGATTTTTATATTGAAGCCCATCTTCATGTTTATAATTTTCTTCTTTTGTATTATGTGAATACAATCCAGATACCATACAAATATTGATGGCTTTAAATGGACCATTATGAAATACTTCATCTACAATGGGACTCTGAGTGAGGTGGGATTTATGGTCACAGAGCCCTAGCAGAGAGGGAGGAAATGCACTTTGCCGTGGCTTTTCTTTGTCTGAAAAAGCTGGCTGAGGTTTTGTCATCCAAATATGGCAACAAGGATGGTATCTCCTTACAGGACTGTTAAGGGAGCAGCCATTCTCTGGGAGATGGGAGTTGCACATAACATAGTTGGGGAGGCAATTTCTCTAAAAGCATAAAATGTTTTTATGCTTCTATCTCAATATCTGGAGGATTTTCAAAATAAATAAATAAATAAATAAATAAAGCTCAAATTGACCAAGAGTAGAAAAGAAAGGCATTTGTCTTTGGCAAGGCAAGCAAACAAGTTATGACAGTCATGGACAGAGAGGCTGGGAGCTTCCTTAACTGCTTCGGAAGAGTAAGACTGGATAGAGCAGCCCAAGTGTCTCATAGTGGTTTTCAGAATTTCAATATGTCTCTTGCTAATTTGTTTTAGAATTAAAATGAGCTGCTGTTGGAGCAGGCGTGTGGCCCAGTGATTAAGACCCCAGTGAAGATGCCTGCATCCCATATCAAAGTACCTAGGTTTATTTATTTATTTTTTAAAAGATTTATTTCTTTATTTGAAAGAGTTACACAGAGAGAAGGAGAGGCAAAGAGAGAGAGAGAAAGAGAGAGCGAGACAGAGAGAGACAGAGACAGAGAAAGAGAGGTCTTCCATCCAATGGTTCATGCCCCAATTGGCCACAATGGCCAGAGCTGTGCTGATCCAAAGCCAGGAGCCAGGAGCTTCTTTCAGGTCTTCCATGCCGGTGCAGGGGCCCAAGCAGTTGGGTCATCTTCTACTTTCCTAGGCTACAGCAGAGAGCTGGATCAAAGTGGAGCAGCCGGGACACAAACTGGTGCCCATATGGGATGTTGGCACTGCAGGCGGAAGCTTTACCCGCTACGCCACAGTGCCAGCGCCATTGGGCCCAGCGTACCTAGGTTTAATATCTCTCTGCAACTCCTGACTCCATTTTCCTGCTACTGAGGTGCCTGAGATGTCTCAAGCAATTAGACTCCTACTACCCATGTGGGAGACCTGGATGGCGTTCCTGGCTTCTGGCTTCAGCCACCCTGGGCATTTGGGGAGTGAACCAATGCATGGGAAATCCCTCTCTATTTGTCTCTCTTCCTCTCAGCTAAATAACAAAATAAAATCAAATAAGCTAGGGTAAACTTCAAAGGCTGCCTATTTTCTGTTTGTTTTAATATACAATACATAAGTGTGTTTTGAGGTAAGAATATCTAATATTTACAATATTTAACTTATGAAGGGCTACACTAGAGCAGTTGTTCAAATTATTTTTAAAAATTTGTTTGTTTTATAGAGATATGAACCAGATTATTTGAAATAGCTATCTCTCCAGCACTCTAAATTTATGTGATTTCTAGACATTCAGTTTGACAGTGAATTTTTCAGAAACAGATCCATTATATTCTGAACTTGTAATCTTGTGAATGCAAATTTAGTTATCTTATTTGAAATTCTACTTGAGACTATAAAAGGATATCAGCCAACATTTTGTTTATTTATCCAAAATTATTTATTACCCATTATGTGTCAGTCACAATTCCAGATCCTTGAGGGTAGAGCAGAGAAAAAAAAAACAGATTAATAACTTTGCTCTCAAGGAACTAACTGACATTTTAGTGAGAGAGATAGACAACAACAAGATACAAGAACAAAACGTACAATATTTTGATAGAGATAAGTGCTAAGGGAAAAAATAA